AATTAATAGTTCGACCAGTTTGATATTTTTCCCTGAAATTGATCTTAGAATTCTTCGTAGCTGTGACTATTTCCCATCTTTCCTTTAATATCGTTGTTCTTCTCACATAGCCGAGAAACTTGAACTGAACAACGATTGTGCCCTTACGGGTTGCAATGGTGAAGCCAACTTTTGGCGTGTCAGCCAAATTATTGCCGTGGGTCATAGGTTGCTGACCACTGGTCTAGTGTATATCAGGAATCAAAATGCTCAGAAGAACCAATAAGAAAATACAACCCTAATAATAATGATGTTCGACATACCACTGAAAACAAAAGTTGTTTGTTTTCTCTTATGCTTACTCTACCATGTCAATTATCTTCTAACCCTGGATATAGCTCTGATATTTTGTTATGTATGGATGGTATTTTATAGTATTGGTTGTGTGTTTGTGTTTATAATGCATTGATGAGATACTAGCTGTTACTCTTCATGCTTTTGTTATTTGATATTGGGCATAAACTGTTCTTGACTCTATAGCATTTTTATTCTTTATACTTCTCCTAAAGTGACAAACTGTGGATCTGCGGGTCCATGGCTTGTATCCCAATTCTCTACACATTGGGTCCATGGGTGCATTATGAGAGTGATGTCAAATTCTACTATTCAGTTAGGACTAGCCCAAAATCTGGTTGTGGGTGATGTTGACTAGCTTCGTTTTCTGTATAAATATTTAAGTATTTTTAATTCAGACCAGCATTGTTTTTTGTGATGTCCGTTTCAACAAGGACTAATACATGTTATTTCATCACTGTTAGTCTATTCTTATATAAGAGATATTCTAGCTTCATGACGTTGATAAAACATGTAGGTTCAAGAAGTCTTGATAGAAATGAATAAAAACCTTATAACCCATTCCAGATATTCTTGCTTAATATTACAGAGTGAAATATTTTTTATTGACTTCTAATCTTTTTTGTTTAATTGGTTTTACAGTTGTTGCTTAATGTTTGAAATTTCTGATTATTCTAAGCTATTAACTATGTCTATGTTTCTTACCATTTTCATGATTTTTTGTGTCGTTTTGTAAATTGCCTTTGTTAGTATATGACACAAAAGCCACAAAAACTTTCTGATTTTTGTTATAGAGGTTTGCTAGAATCTTTATTATAGTATTATATTAAGATAGATAGATATTTACTCTGTATGATTAAGAAAAAAATCATTGCACTTTTTTCTTTCTTTTTTTTATATTAATTTACAAAAATTTTCTATTTATAATGAACAGGAACTTAATATATCAATAAACAATGAAGGAGAACGCCATCTAGTGAACCGTCAGAGTTTTGAAGGGTTAGAAAAGAAACAGAACAAAGTCACGTAAGTTTGTTTTAACAAATAAAATACAATTTTGGTTGAGTATTTTACAACAAGATGTTTTATCTTATTTTAATCTGTTAGGAATTACTAAATATTGTATTTTCTTTCTAATGATGATTGGTTATTCTGGCATGGAAACCATTGCTGATAAGGACTTAAGGCATCCACATTATTAATTTCAATTTTGTAACTTTTAAACCTTTCTACAATAATCCTAACCCCTCCCCCAGGGTGTGTCAACATGTAGTAATATGAAATGATGAAGCTTCTGGCTTAATAACAATACTTAATCACAAGAAATAACTCAACTTTTTAAATACTGTACTGGTTAAGAAATGTAGGTATTTAACTTGAAATCAATTTTTAAAACACAGTTGAAAACTAACAGGACAAAAAGAGCATCCTCTGATTAGGACTGAAAAAGTGATCCTGGTTTTCATTATCACAATGCTGGTCAAATATAAATTTGTATGTGTTTCTTTAAGTTTACAAAACGTGCAGAAAATAAAACGAATGTATTTAATAAAATCACAAAAAGTTTATCTCAATCAAAAATAGCTCTTTCTCTCATAAACCTATTATACAACAGTTCCATATAATCTATGAAACTTCAATGTTGAAATCCTCATTTGGTCCAATACACACGAAATTCAAGTCATTGAACCTCATCAACTTCCCAAAGCACAGGTGACATTATAGCATTTTCAAAGTTTCAAATCATAAAAAAGTTAAAATTTAGCAAGTACTATGCTACTACAATAGTTTCACGATTAAATGTTATTTAAAGATCTTTTAATAATTATAAGAAGATGTGTAACTGGCACTAAAGTATACAAGTAGACTCCAATATTTTGTTTTACTAAAACATCACCATTACCTTATGAAATAGTTGCAGTTAGAAGTATTAACTTATTCTTCAACTCACATTACATGCCCCCCCCTTCCTTCCAGTAGCTCAGCCGTAAGTCTGCAGGCTTATAACACTAAAAACTAGGATTTGACACCTGTGTTGGGCATAGCACAGATAGTCTATTGTATAACTTTGCACTTAACAACAACCAAACCAAATCTCAAACCCACAGCCACATACTTAAATAACATCAAAGGTTAAAGGTCATACTTTATAGCCACATACAATTACACAACTTCTTTGTTTTTTCTGGGCCTAATGGCAACAACTGAAAAGTAAAAATGCATTAAAAATTTCTTAACTTTAATAATTAGAATTTAAAGTTTTTATAACAGACAGAAGTCTTCCTATATGAAGATATATATATTACTGGTTGAATAAAAGCCAATACAGCTACCAAAGTAATTAATCTGAATGTTACTGTAACATTCAGATTATTATTATCTGTTTAGGTTCATCTTTTGTTTGTTTGTTCTTAAGCAAAGCTGAGCAATGGGTTATCCATTCTGTGCTCACTCCAGGTCTTGAAACACAGTTTTCAGCATTATAAGCCTTCTGCCTTAGCACTGAGCAAATTCTCCATTCTGTAGTTGCATCATTTCATGTTAGTTTACTGTTTAATGTACATGTTGACACACC